CTTGGACTCCTACCTTACAGGTCTACAGTTCGAATCTCCCTACAGCCTACAACCTACGGCGACCTACTTACCACTGGCTATCGTGCAGGTCACGGGTTCAACTCCAGGGAACGGTGCAGATACTGTACACAGGTAAGCTGAGATCTGCATCGGCTACTGCCAAAGGTGAAAACTGTTTCATAACTACGGCCATCTGCACGCTTGGCTATGGCTATGGCTCCGAGGTTCTTCCCTCCCCTCCCATGGTAACTGGACTGCTAGAGGAGACAACATGATGAGGCCGAGGCCCCACGCTCGCGAAGCGGAGCGCGTGTGACTCTTTTCCCGTTCCCCGTCGAGACGGCGGGGTTGGCGGGTGAACAGCGCTCGCGAAACTCGCGGAGCGACGCCGGTAACGGAGCGCTACGCTACCCGCCCGCTATCGACGCTCCTTCACGTGCCCTTTTTCATCATTTTTACGTTCAGGGGTTTGCAATCGATCAGTCGCAAATTCGCAATCCTCAGTATGGTCAACAGAGTTGAACAGACTCAATACCTGCTGCTCCTCTTTTTTTTTTTTTTTTTTTGTGTGTGTGTGTGTCTGTCTGTAAATGATGTTCAAAATATTCCACCTCTACTCCCATGCATCTGTATGGGAGTAGAGGGGGACTCTGTCCACATCTATTGGAGACTATGGACTCTGCCTGAGTGATGTTTTCACACGTTGGACAGTGTGCGTAAGTCCGATGTTTTCAATCGTTGGACTCTGTCGGAGACTATGTGCAACGATTGAAAATATCACTCAGGCAGAAATGAGGAATTGCTAAAAAAAAAAAAAAAAAGAGGAATGCTGGAGGGTTTAGACGTGGTGCTGTGTCCCACGTAATATGGCCCCTGCACAAGGGGATGACATGCATAAATCGAGAAATGGTCCCCCCCCCCACCAAAAAAAAAAAAAAGACAGAAAGAAAGAAAGAAAGAAATGACTTACGTGCACTTCAAGCTACCACAAGTACTTAGTACTAAGTAGGACTAACTAACGAACCTTCTTTTTGGTCTTTTTTTTCCCAAATTTCCCCCCTAATCAGTAATATGGCCCCTGCGCAACGGGATGACATGCATAAATCGAGAAATGGTCAAAAAAAAAAAAAAAAAAAAAAAAAAAAGACAGAAAAAATTGAAAAATAGCACTTATGTGCACTTCAAGCTACTACAAGTACTTGGTACTAAGTAGAGGACTAGCTAACCTGAGTAGTAAGTACCAATAGGTCCAATACTGCTACTAAGACTTTGTACTAAGTACTAAGTACAAAGTACTAAGTACTAAGTAGTAGTATGTGGTAAGAACTTAGTAGTACCAAAACTACTATTGGTACTTAAAAGAGTAAGGAGTAGTACTAAGTAGAACAAACCTTAGACTAAGTAGTAGTATGAATTAGCGCTCACAGGGCGTAGTACAAAGTGATACTACCGTCTTCACCGGAATAGAACGCCCAGTCATTATAGCTGCATCTGGACTGCAAGTTGCCTCGAATACAGTTATAACTTCTAACGATCAGGTGTGCGTTCTATTCCGGTGAAGGCGGTAGGTAGTATAGTACCTCCTATATTAACTATTCTTAAGTTACGAACCTTGAGCTTTTCAGAGATATCCACATAACTGCTGCTGTCTTCGCTCATCTTTTCTTGAACCTCTTCCACGAGCTTCAGAACTCCAAAATGCAGCTTCGCCAAAACGCTTGTGCGCATCTTCATCACCTCTCCCCTTCTTGCGAAGGCTCCCTGTGTCAATCAAACAGAGGTCAAGACACAGATTGAAGAAGGATGATGAAATTGCACAAAGAAGCCGATCATTGAGCAAAGAGGTCAAGACACAGACAATTCAACAGACAAACAAAGAAGAACAGCTCGACGATGAGAGTACACAAGATGACGTCCAGGCCAACGCTGTGTTGCACAGAAAGAGGGAGGAGGGAGGGAGAGAGAGACAGTTCCTTGATTGGGCTTTAAGGAGATGGGAAGAGCACTGCAGGGTCTTAACCCCCTGTGAAAGTCACTCACAGAGCGAGAGCGAGCAATCCAGCGACACACACACACACACACACACACACACACACACACAGAGAGAGAGAGAGAGAGAGAG